GCCGTGGTTCTGTGGTGCCAAGGTTCTGTCATGCCATGGTTCTGTGGTGCCAGGTTCTGTGGTGCCCTGGTTCTGTGGTGCCAAGGTTCTGTGATGCCGTGGTTCTGTGGTGCCAGGTTCTGTGGTGCCAAGGTTCTGTGGTGCCAAGGTTCTGTGATGCCAAGGTTCTGTGATGCCGTGGTTCTGTGGTGCCACGGTTCTGTGATGCCGTGGTTCTGTGGTGCCAAGGTTCTGTGATGCCGTGGTTCTGTGATGCCACGGTTCTGTGATGCCAAGGTTCTGTCATGCTGTGGTTCTGTGGTGCCAAGGTTCTGTGATGCCACGGTTCTGTGATGTTATGGTTCTGTCATGCCATGGTTCTGTGGTGCCATGGGTTCTGTGGTGCCGTGGTTCTGTGCTGCCAAGGTTCTGTGGTGCCAGGTTCTGTGATGCCATGGTTCTGTGATGCCACGGTTCTGTGATGCCGTGGTTCTGGGGTGCCGTGGTTCTGTCGTGCCAAGGTTCTGTGGTGCCATGGTTCTGAGGTGCCAGGTTCTGTGATGCCACGGTTCTGTCATGCCATGGTTCTGGGGTGCCAAGGTTCTGTCATGCCATGGTTCTGGGGTGCCAAGGTTCTGTGATGCCAAGGTTCTGTCCTGCCATGGTTCTGTGGTGCCAGGTTCCACCCCTGCTCGGGGCTTTGTCTCCAGCACCCAGCTGAGCACAGCTCTGGGGTGCTGGAGCCTCTCCAGTGCAGCAAGCGCAGTCCTTGCCCTCAATAGTCTGAGGACAGAACAGTGAGAGAGAACTGGGCCAGCAAACGTCGCTCCCAGATCAGGCACAGTCCCAGGGAGGAGCTGCAGCTTTAGGGTTAAGCTCAGCCTGTGATCTGCAATCCCATTTGGAAGAGACAAGGAGGCTGCAGCTGACCTTGCTGCAGCTTTGGGACACTCTTGGCAGACACATCACCTGAGCCTCCCAGTCCCTGCTGTTCCAGGCACTTCAGGTGCTCACACTTCCCTTAAAAGGGTTTAAAAAATCCCAAAATTTCAAAAGGAAAACAAGCGATGGAGCAGCTGGATCACACTAGAATAGTGACCTGCAGGGCCCTTTCACCTGTGGGTACGTTCTGTGTCTCTGTGGATTCACCTGTGCTCAGCCTGCAGAGTTGCTACCCCACTCAGGCCTCAGAAGCTGCGTGGAGCATCCCCTGAGGATGCCCTGCCACCTCCTGTGCCTGTGAATTCACCATGTTTTGGGAGTCTGCAGTGAGACAATTGGCCTGAGGATTCCTCGCTGCTATTCCTGGCTGTGGGAGCCGCAGTTGGATCCTGTGGATAGCTGGCACAGATAATTAGAGCAGCTTTTAGTGTGGCTTGTCCTTGGAGGCAGCAGCTCGAGATGGAAAATCCTCCAGCACTGGAGGCAGGGCTGGAGTGATGAAATCCTGACACGTGCTCAGGGCACTGCGGGGGGACCTGGGTCAGTTTGGGGTGCTTTGGGTTACTCAGCACTTGGTGTTTCCAGGAGTCCTGGGAAGCTGGTGCAGCTCCAGAGCTGAGCTTTGTGTTTGTCCTGTTGGAGGTGGGACTTGTCCCCCATTAAACATGAGGATGGGCAGGATTTCCCCTTAAATCCATGCCCTGAGTTCATGCAAGAGCTGTGCACAGCACAGGCACCTCAGGAGCAATGGGAGAACCAACTGGGATGTGCTGCTGGACAGCCAAGCTGGGATTTTTGGGAGTTGGAGGGATGAGCTGCCGGGCAGGCTTTCCTGATTTAACATTTGAACAGAGCACCTGGAGTGGGGGAAGGCCTGGAACGTCCCACCTGCTCTGGGAGCAGCAGGGGTTGGGTGGTTTGCTCGTGTTTCACATGGAGTTGGGGCTGGAATTCTGCTCAGGGGCTGGAATTCTGCCCAGGTGAAACGGGTGCAGGGGCAAAACAGTTCCCAGGTGTCCAACAGAGAGCTGGGTCAGAGGATGCTCTTCCCATTCCCAACTCTTAATGCCAGGGAGGAATTAGGGAATGGCAGGGAAGGGGAGCAGCCTTTCAGTTTCCACTTGTGCTGTGTTTTGTGCAGGAAGATGTGCATCTGATGCATTCAGGGCATGCCAACACCACCCATTAAACTGCTGCATCTTCCTCATCCCCCCTTTAAAAAACTGCAAGTTAAGGAGCGAGTGAGCTTCCCTCAGAGCAGCCTGCAGCCAGCAGTAATATTTATTTTCTCTATTTGTTTTAAGCCTGGGAAGGCTGTGCTTTCCTGCACACTGTCCTGATGGAGCCCTGCCCAGCGAGCGTGCAGTGCCCCCAGCCCTAATGTGCCATTAATGATAGGTTAATGTACAGTATAATGTTTTTTGGACTATGGGTTCATTACACTTCTGAGTGCAAGGTCCTTCTGCAGAGCGCCCAAGGTCCCATTGCATTATATCATGCAATAAAAATACCCTTTTCATATCACACACTAATAAACTGTATTTGAAATGCTGTCTGAGGGCACGGCCATTGTCTTCATAGGCTGTGGCTGCAACAGTTGGGATCTTTTTTATTGTGGTTTTTTTGTGGTCTTGAGTTCAGAATTTTTTAAATGGAAGGCATGGTTTGTCTGTGCTGCTTGGTGATAAATGGAGTTCAGGATGGGAGGGTTCCTGGAAAAAGGAATGTTAAAAGGGTGGCACCACTGCAGCCAGTGCAGTGCCACTTATTTCCCAACCTGCCTTGCATAAGCATGAGGAATTTTATTATCATTTTTAATTGGCTGCCCTCCCCAGTCAGCCTCTCACTGTGCCAGGGGGAAAAAAATATAAGGAGGTGCTGGAGTGGGTTAGATCTCATGTTCTCCCACCATTTGGGATTCAGGTTCTTGCCATGCTCTGTGCCCCAGGGAGCACCACCCTGGGTGGTGGATGAGGAAAATCTCTCATTTCTGGTGATTTCCAGGGAAATCTGTGGCTGACTGGCATTTCACCCTGGGAATGTCCTTTGTCACCATTGCAGGCTGGTAGCTGCCTGTTCCATGGCCCTTTAGAGCAGTCTGACATAAACATTGACTCCTTTTGAGCCTGAAATGCCAGGCATTGCACGAGGGGCATTGCTGATGGTCTGCCTGTCCTTTGGCCTTGCTCTGAGCCTCCCTGGTGCTCTCCAAACACATTTTATGGCCAGAGGATCCTGTTTGTGGGAGAGGCTCTCCTGGAGCTCTGCTCTTCCCTGGGTTTGTGTGTGAGGGCAGTGGAAGTTGTTCCCTGTGCTTTAGACTGAAGAGCTGAAGGGATTTGGGGCTGTGGGTGATGGTTTTGTATCCCAGAGGGAATTTCATGCACCTGGAGCAGAGCTGCACTCTCCAGGTGGGCACTTGGAGCTGCAGCCCTGCCCAGGATGCCATGAGGCAGTAAGCTCAGGGTGGGTTATTATCAGAAACAAAGATTTTTTTATAGGTCAGAGGAGACAGCCATGAAAGCAAATTGCTGAATTTTAGGGGTAGATAAAATGATGGAACTTTTACCCTTGAATAATGGGGATTTAATTGACTGGGCTAAATGATGGATGGTTGGTGAGCACGGAGTTGGAATTACCAGGGCTCTGTGTTCAGGGGGGCACTGCCCTTTTAATTTCCTGTCAGGTATTTAAATCCTCCACCTCCCCCTCTGCCAGGAGCTGCCCTGTGAAAGAGTTAAACCTGTCTGGGGGGACACAGCAACTCGAGAAATGTACCCTTTATCAAGAGAACCAGAAGAGACAAGTTCATTTAAAAAGCCTGGTTTGTCATTGTTTATCTCATTTTCAGGCTTGACACACAAAATTAGGCTGCCTGACACTCACTGGGGGCCAGCCCTGGCCCTGTCCTGCCTGACCTTTCCAGCTCCAGGCTCTGCAGCAGCCACTTCCCATTCCCTGCAGGATTCCCAGTGCATCCACTGAGCCAGGGCACAGCACACCAGTACCAGGCCAGTAAGAAAAACCCCTTTGGTGCTGGATTTTCTACCTCTCTCCTGCTGGCTGTGCTGAGTTCCAGGTATTTTTAAGGCTGAATATTTGAAAACCTGACAGCTGAGGTTTCAGAGCTGATAATTCATTTGGAGCAGCCTAAATGCAGGGCTATCCTGGGGGTGAGGGGGCTTTGGCTGTGGGGTCTCTCCATCCTAAAGGGGAAAGAGCTGGATGGAATATTTGGATTTGATTGCCTCAATGCATCTGCCCTGCCCTGTCTGTGCCTCTTGACTGTTCTCTGCTGCTTCTCCATCCTAAAGGGGAAGGGCTGGATGGAATATTTGGGTTTGATTGCTCCAGAGCATCTGCCCTGCCCTGTCTGTGCCTCCTGACTGTTCTCTGCTGCTTTTCCATCCTAAAGGGGAAAGGGCTGGATGGAATATTTGGGTTTGATTGCCCCAGAGCATCTGCCCTGCCCTGTCTGTGCCTCCTGACTGTTCTCTGTTGCTTCTCTCTGGTGTCCCTGGCTGTTCTGTTGAGGAGGTGAAACAGCTGCCTCTAGGCTGTGTTAAAGGCATTTCTCTCATTCCTGCACTTTTCCACCCAAAACCACCCCAGTGCTGGGCAGAGCACCTCACTCATCCTGTCACTCCCTGCCTTGTCCAGAGTCCCTGTCCAGCTCTCCTGGATCCCCTTTAGGCTCAGGAAGGTCAGTGCACATGAAGGATGCATGGTTGGTTGTTAAAGAGAGAAATTTTAGGACATCACACACATTTACCAGCAGAGGAGCAGATTAACGAGGTTTTTTTGGGATATCATTTCACCCAGACACCATTCAGCAGCTCCTCAGCTGTCCTGGAAAGGGTCTGGCTCAGAACACAATGAGAAATGGAATAACAAAACCAAAAAGAGCATTTCCAAGGAGTGTGGGCTGCCTCCCCCTGCTCGGAGCAGGCCTTGTGGGTCCCACAGACGTGCAGGGAACGCGCTGCTCTGAGGCAGGGCTCCGTGGCCCTGCTGTGGGTGCTGCACAAGGGCTCTCTGTGTGTGTGTGTGTGTCCTGCTGACCTGGCTGTCCCCTGCAGGGCCACCCGTTCGTGGTGCAGTACAACGACGGCAATGCCGAGGTGGTGTCCATGTGGGTGTGCAGGATGCTGGAGGAGCGCCGGGCGCAGGGACCCCAGTGAGCCCCGGATCCCCACGCCAGGATCTCCACCTGGGGACTCTCAGCTTATCCAGCTCCTGTTTCATCCAGCTGTGTCCTAGGAGCATCGACAACATCAGGGCTGCCTTTTCCTCACCACTGCCACGTTAAGGAATTTTCTTAATTGTTTCTTTTGTCGCTGAGCAATTTCCAGGTTTATCTTCAGTTATACTGTACACAGCCTTAAAGCAAGTATTTTATATCTCTATTTTTGGGTTACTGGATGTTCTGTTTCCTGACTCCAGAGTATTTTTTAACTGTTGCTCCTTTCCAAGTGTCCAGAGGATTTCCTGACAAGTTGGTGGCTGTCTCTGAGTGCAGGCAGCCACTCAATACTGGGTTTAAGTGTAAAACAAAAGCAAACAGACAAAAAAAGAGAAATATCTGGGCTTGCCCACCCTGTGAGGAGGTGAGGGGTGCCGGGAGGGTCAGCATCACACCAGTGAGTGACTGGGAATGCCCTCTCTGCTCCCAGTACCAGCTGCTGGGATGCGAGGAGCACCCATGGTCAGGCTGATCCCTGAACCAGAGAGGGTTAGGTGAGGTGGAAAAGGGGGAAAGAGGACAGGGCTCTGCTCTGGAGCCAAACTGGGAGAGCTGGGAATGTTCCCCTGGAGAAGGGAAGGATCCAGGAATCCTCAGAGCCCTTGCAGGGCCTGAAGGGGCTCCAGGAGAGCTGCAGAGGGGCTGGGGACAAGGGATGGAGGGACAGCACACAGGGAATGGCTCCCACTGCCACAGGGCAGGGCTGGGTGGGATATTGGGAATAATCCTTCCCTGGGAGGGTGGGCAGGCCCTGGCACAGCTGTGGGTTCAGCCAGGCCGAGCACAGGCTGCAGGTTTGATGTTGCAGGAAAAAGGAATGGCTGCAATGTCTCTGCTGGGTGTTCCTGGCTCCTGCGATTCCTGGGGACGTTTCCACAACAGACCAACACAGGTTGAATCATTCCTTGTGTAAAAATGCTTAATAAAAGGAAAAAAAATAAATAAACCATGGATGTGAGAGGCAGGTTTGGGGTGAGTGAGTTGGGTGGGAGGAGGTTGGGGTTTGTTTGCTTGTCTTTGCATTAGAAATAAACTTTTGCTAAAAAATAAAAAAAGACTCGGGTGGTTTATTTTCTACCAGCAGCTTCAACCCCCCCACAATTCAGTGAATTATTCCTCCCGAACCACTGCAAATCCTAAATGTTATTCTGGAAGCAGCCTGGAAGAGACTTGCTTTCCTTCCTTGGAGGGATCGTTTGTCTTCTTTTGAAGTGTAGAGGTTGCAGGCATGAACTTACAGACTAAAGTTTGTCTTAATTGCTCTGATGTCACAACCTCGCTGGCAGATAACAGGCAATGAATGAGGCAGCAGCCCCCGTTCCTCCAGGTCCTTCTGCTAAAGTGAGACAAATTCCCTCCCTGTGAGCCAGGCAGGGCATGGCAGCGCTGCCATTTATTTATCCCTAACAGTTCCAGCAGCTTTCCCTGCATAAAAGGGCTCTCTCTCCCTCTCTCTCTCTCGGATCTGGTTTAAAACTCAGCAATCCCAGGGCTTTTCCTGCTGCTTTTCCTGCCAGGGAGGTTGGGAGGGGAGGACTCACCCCGAAAATCCGTGTGGGATGGAGCTGGGAAAATCCTCCTGGTTAAAGCAGGGACAATTATAATTCATGTGGTTCATCAGCGGGATGAGTCCGGGGGAATCCGGGGCTCCATCCCTTCCCTCTCCCAAATCCTGGGATTCAGTGCAGTCTGGGATTTGCTCTTCTGTCCCTTCCCAGCAGGATCTGGGGAATGGGGCTGGGTGAGAGGGCAGAGGAGGGAAGTTTGGGATTGAGCAGCTCCTCTCAGCCTTGCTGGCGTTCCCAGCTGAGACTGGGAATGGAGCCCAATTCCTGCACCACCCGTCAGCCACCGCCCAGGGATGGTTTTGCCCTCTCTCCTCTTCCCTGCTGCATTTTTGGGGGTTTGAATTGTGGCATTTCTTGCTGGAAAGGTTGCAGGAAATGCAGCAATATCACACCCTACAGCCGAGTCCTGCTCAGGGGATGGCATCGGGGGTGTGCAATGAGTTCAGCACAGGATCCCTCAGATGCAGAGGGACCCCCAGTCCCACTCCTCACCCCAGCTGCTCATTGAGGGCTCCCCCACCAGTGTCACCTCTGTCTCCCCTCCTTTAACCTCCGTGATAATGATTCCCATGGGAGCGTGCATGTGGGAAAAACGGAATGTGTCCCATCTGTGCCAAAACTTCCAATATTTTCCACATTTCCCTTTCCCGCTGCCAGGCAAAGCTCCCGTGAGAAGATCCCGTGGAAGATCGCCCTTAAATCAGCACAGAATTAGAAAATATTTTGTTTCTCGTATCCCGTGGCCAAACCCAGCCCGCTGTCAGCATTCCAAAGGCAGAGCGCCCGTCTTTGTTTCCCGGAGAGCAGCCTGAACAGCCGGGGGGGAGCGGGGCTGCCAGGGCTCCTTTACCTGCCGCTGTCCCTCGGCCCGCACCTGAGCCATGGCCGGAGCAGCTCTGGGGAGCTCCCTTTGATCCCCGGGTGCCCCAGAGGAAAACCGGGAGGGCTGGAGCTGGGGAGGGCGTGGGTGCTCTGCGCCTGCCGGTCCTGCAGGGAAAGCTCACCTGGAGGCATCCGTGGGACCGGGATGGTGCGGGCAAAACCTGGGAATTTGGGGCTTTTTTTGGGGGGAATAAAAACTCCTGCAGGGAGGCAAATCCACTGGTGGAGAGCGAGAGCTGCGGGAGAAGCGGCTCGGCGGGGACAGA